TGTCAAATGGATCCGCTTCACCCCCCCAGCGGGGTTTGTGTTACCTGTAGGTGGAACGCACTGCAGTGTGGAGGTGTTTTTTTTTTCTGCTTTCATCTCCCGGTTTGAGGTGGTGCTTCCGGTCTGTGGAACACTCTTCAATGAGAGGGAGTGTCCCTCCTGGTCCTGTTTATATTGCACAAGCCACGCCTGACATCTTTTGATGATGAAACGCATAGGGTAGAGCCACGCTGTGTGACATCATCGCGCTCTGGAGGGACAGCAGCCATCTTGTTGGTTTGAAACTGATAACAGTATTACTGTTATGCTGATATCCATGCTTTCTATGTAAGTGCAATTCAAATAAATCAGTTTAGGCTATTAATATACTACACTATGAGTTGGCAATTTTTCTTTTCATGTGGTGCTTTGGTTGCCTGATGGGGAGTTTTCCATTTGAAGTTCTTTTTGGTGGAATATCTTGGAGGATCCTGTGGTTTCCTATACAAGAACCGTTGCAGTACCTGCTGGATTTATTACACTGCTCATGTTGGCAGACCCGTTGGTCGGTCAACTCTTCTGGTAAGAGGCCAATTTATTTGGGTGTATGGTGCTGGTCTCTTCTTTGGATAGGAACCCCTTTCCTATGCACGGCTGTTCATTTCTGCATATGGGAAATCCACATGGACTTTTCTGTCATCTGTTATATTGTAATTTTTTGTGAATGGGACTTTATGTTCTAATTAACGCTGCAGCTTTTCACCATATCTTAATTGTCAGTTAAAGTAATGCAGTATCACAAAAAATGGCCTGGTTAGGAAGGGGGGGGGGGGTAAAACCTTTGGAGGGCAAGTGGTTAAACCGATGTACACGTTTACTACAGATTACCTCTTCTGTTCAGAGTTGGGACGAAGTGCTTATTCAATCCTCAACAAAATCCATAATGAAAAGCATGTATGTTTTTCAATGTGTTTAATGTTCCTCACTTTTTTTCTACTATGTTTGCATTCCAAGTGTGACAGCTTTTTTTTTTCCCGCATACACATCAAGGTCATTGAATTTATTTACACTACTAAGTCGTCAACAGACAGGGAATGAAAGAGGCATGCATGCACCCACACTGCTGTCAAATTGGGAGCAGCAGCTGTGTGTGTGTAGCCACTGAGTGAATTGACATGTATGTGACTGCGCACATGAGGATGCATAGAACATCTTTACACCCTCTTGCTGGCAAACACAGCTCTTGCACAGGGTACACCCACATAAACAAGGCCTAGATATGAAATACAATAATAATATTCAGGAGGCGGAGCTCAGTCTTCATTTCACATTTTCCAAACTTTGCTTATTTGATTTAAAAAAGGAAAGAAGCTTTTCTTTTCAGAACGCAACCAGCCCTGAGAGCAATGACTTCTCCCTTTATCAGAGTACCAGGTTTCAAACAAAAGGAAGCCTGCGGCTGCTGTGATTTCTCTTTAGCTAACCCACAGTTCTTTGGGAATCCTTTGTTATAGGATGTTAAAGTGTTTCTTCAGCGCCCCCCCCCCCCCCAAAAAAAATACAAAAATTGCCAAAATCTGAAGAGGATGGTAGGTAAAGTTTCTGCTTTAAGAAATGATTAATACTACAGCTTAAAAAATTAAATTATATTAACTGAGAACTATTAAAGCTCTTTAAAGTAAGTACATGGCAGCGGCCATAATAATATTCAGTGCCTCTAATAAGGATGACTTGATTTGTATTTGCGCTGTTCGATTTGCTATAAATATTTGGGTATGCCACCTTCCCTCAGCACAAAGCTCTATTCAGATGTCAAGCTTTATAATATGATCATATGAATTCTGCAACACCAACAAATGGGTTTTACATCTCTAATTGCCTCAAGCGAAAATCTGATCGTTTGAAAGTCTGCTTGATATTCTCTTTTCCACATACAGTATTACCTGTGACTATAATATTAGCGTCTTAAAGTGGAACTACACTGCATCTGAAAACCGCGAAACAAAAAAACATTATTTCATTAATTTTTAATGTTCAAAGCAAATTCATCTATGCATGTCTCTATGAAATGACATTGAAAAACACCCCCTAGGAATTCTGGCCATGGCCAGCTTGAGTAAGGGTGGATGATTCTTGTAGCAGTTACTTCCTGGAATCCTTCTGCCCTTAGCTCAGGCATGCAAGCAGGAGTAAGTGCTTAGCTGAGAAAACCCCTCCTACCCTCTTGAAGCCTCCTGGGATGTTATGACATCATTTGTCTAACTTTTACCTGCTACTGATGAAGAAATAATGAAGGAGTAGCCCACACCTGGCCATGAAACAGCTTTTGATTCAATTGTCTAATTACTTTTGGTCCCTTGAAAAAGGGGTTTGGCTACTCTTAAGAGCTGTAATTCCTAAACCCTTACTCCAATTAGGATCTACATACCCTCAAATTAAACCTGAGAGTGTGCACGTTCAGCCCATATCCATTATACAACTATAGCTTGAATATGTTTTGGAAAATACCTGAAAAATCTAAAATTGTGCCTTTGTACACATATATATGGACCTAACTGTGTGTATACATACATATATATACTGTGGAGTTAAAGGGTTATACCACCTTTACTGCGTATGCAGGTATGGGGCATCATCAGTAGATAAGATCAAACGGTGTAGCTTTGACTAAAGTTGGATAATGCCCTTACTATAGGTGTAGGCCATTTACTTACCTCCCAAAGCCTGGGCAAAAAACTCTCAGATGGCATCATCCTGGCCTGCCTTGCTGCTGGGACCTTGCCAAGGCACTCCAAACTGTTACTGCTCACCCCGACCTTTACAGGAGTGAGCTCTCAAATTCCTACAGCTGTGGTCCACTACCCCCTCATTCGACACATAGCTGAGCTCAGAACTGCTGTGACGAAAGAGAAAAGTCTATATGAGAGTTTGGCTCAGCTGGGAGTGTCTTAGCAACGTCATAGCAACAAAGCAGGATGGGACAATGCCATCTCTGGGAGTTTTTCGGTCAGGCTTTAGATGACACAATCCATCAGACACCACCTATGGCTGCAATATCACTTGTATGAAATATTTTCTAGGAAACCTATACTGAGAAAGTATGGCTGTCACTGCTGACGTCTGCTTCTGAAAATGCTAGTTCCTGGTCATACTGATTCAATGACTTCAATGCTTTGAATCATAGGGGTAACGATGCAAAAAAACAAAACAAAAAAAACTTCACTCTGACCATACATGCTTGCTATGGGCTAGTGACTTAGAGTATAGCTGTCAGCAGGAAGCCAGACTAGCATTTTTTTGGGGATCAGCAAAGCAGACCTTACATCCAATTTATATTATACACTCAGTGGCCACTTTATTAGGTACACCTGTTCAACTGCTTGCTAACACAAATTGTTAATCAGCCAATCACATGGCAGCATCTCAATGCATTTAGGCATGTAGATGTGGTGAAGACAACTTGTTGAAGTTCAAAGTGAGCATCAAAATGGGGAAGAAAGGGGATTTAAGTGACTTTGAACGTGGCATGGTTGTTAGTGCCAGACGGGCTGATCTGAGTATTTAAAAACTGCTGATCTACTGGGATTTTCACACATAACATCTCTAGAGATGAATGGTCCAAAAAAGAGAAAATATCCAGTGAGTGGCAGTTGTGTGGATGAAAATGCCTTGTTGATGTCAGAAGTCAGAGGAGAATGGGCAGACTGGTTGCTGCGACATTCAGATGGTAGGGTCAGAATTTGGTGTAAACAACATGAAAGCATGGATCCATCCTGCCTTGTATCAATGGTTCAGGCTGGTGCTGGTGGGGTAATGGTGTGGGGGAGATTTTCTTGGCACTAGCAAGGTGTACCTAATAAAGTGTCCGGTGAGTGTATGTACACAGTTATATCAGCTTTGAAAATTAACCACTTGCCCTCCAGAGGATTCCCCCCCCCCCCCCCTTCCTGACCAATCCATTTTTTGCATTACGGCGCTGCGTTACTTTAGCTGACAATTGCGCGGTCATGCAACGCTGCACCCAAATGAAATTACGTCCTTTTTTCCCCGTGAATTGAGCTTTCTTTCGGTTGTATTTCATCGCCTGTGCGGTTTTTATTTTTTGCACTATTAAAAAAAAACAGACAATTTTGAGAAAAAAAAAAACTTTTTTTTACTTTTGTTATTAAACATGTCCAGTAAAAAATCAAAAAAAAATCTAAGTTAGTCATAAATTTAGGCCAAAATGTATTCTGTAAAATCCCAATACGTGTAAATTAATCGGGTTACGTGAAAGTTATAGCGTTTACAAATGTCGGTATAGATACTGGAATTTTTTATTTTATTTTTACTAATAATGGCGGCAATCAGTAACTTATAGCAGAACTGCAGCGGACATTCTGACACTGGGGGGGAACGGACTTGGTGTCACTGACATCCCCAGTGACACCAATACAGTGATCAGTGCTAAAAAAAAAGCCACTAATGGCACTAGGCAGGAAGGGGTTAACATGAGGGGCGATCAAAGGGTTAACTGTGTGCTGGGAGTGTATTAATGGGGGACGGTGTGTTGGTGCTTCACTGTAAGCACACTGCTCTGGATGGCTGTGCACAGCCATCCAGAGCAGTTTGCCCAAGCCAACAGGGAGGAGGACTGTTAGTAAACAAAGTAGCCCTCCTCCCTGTTGGAGATCCTCGGTAATCACCAGGCGCCAGCGGGTAATCACCAGCCGGGACACGGTGATTGACAGTAGCGGCCACGAATGCTGGTATATATACACGTGATTTTTGCGCACCCCTGCCACCCTGTAGCAGTATATCTACTATAGGGCGGTGGGGAAGCAGTTAATATTATCTGGAAACATTACGTCATAAATTAATTTGTCAAATTCCTTCATTAAAAGTTGACCTCAGACCACAGCCTCTGTAAACTGTTCAGATATGTGCAGAAAACACAGCTTCGGTCTGTAGGCACATTTTCATGGATCCACAATAGTTTTCTATTATAAAATCACAAACATGTATTCTTTTGTATGCTTGGCTCAGGAAGCGGTAATGCATGTGCCGTATCCGTGTGATGTGTATTTGGTCACAGTGTCCTCAGACTGTCTCTGCAGTTCCTCAATGTGAGAATTCAAAATCCTCTCAAAGTCCTGAGCTCTTCTGTTCTCTTCCTGCAGGAATCTTTCTGCCGCCGCTAAGAAGGATTCTTCTCTGTCACACTGCAAAAAAACAAAGTATTTCAGTAAGTGACACGTCATCATTTTCCATGCAAATCAGGAATAAGAAACACATCTGTTGGATAAAACAGCACACATTACACACTGTTAGGTACGCATTTAACCCCTTGATCATCCTAGATGGTAACTCCTTCCCAGACAGTGTCAGTAGTACAGTGACAGTGTATAGCATCAGCACTGACCACTGTAAAAGTGTCACTGGGGATTTCAGTGACAGTCAGTCCCCCCCTGGTTAGTGTTAGATTGCCCGCTGCACTATCACCGTCCTGTTATAAGTTGCTGATCACCACCATTCGTAGTATAACAAAAAAAATCCAGTATATATACCATAGTTTGTAGACGCTATAAATTTCACACAAACCAATCAATATACACTTATTGGGATTGTTTTTGTACCAAAGACATATTGCAGAATACATTCTGTCTAATATTTTATGAAGACATTTTTTTTTTTATTTTATTGGACATGTTTTATAGCAGAAAGTAAAAAGTACTTTTCTTTTTCAAAATTTTCAGTCTATTTTCATTTATATCGCAAAAATGAAAAAAAAACCCAGTGGGGATCAAATATCACCAAAAGAAAGCTCTATTTCTGTGAAAAAATTCTATAAATTGATGCATGAATGTGCAATTACCAGTTAAAGTAGCGCAGTGCTAAATATAAAAAAAAATAGCCTGGTCATGAAGTGGGGTAAAACCTTCCAAAGCTGAAGTGGGTAAACACTTAAATCTCAAATTCTCATGTACGCTTTAACATGTTTATTAACCATTTTGGCCCCATCAGGGAAAGTTAGTAATTTTCTACACACAAATACACTAAAATGAGCATTTTTTAAAAGAAATTTACTTTGAATCCCCAAACACTATATATTTTCTGAAAGTAATGGCCTTGGAGAATAAAATGGTGGCAGCTGCAATTTATTATGTTGCACAATATTTACACAGTTAATGAACAAATGCATATTCTCAAGGAAAAATATACAATAATATGAAATGCACACAAACACAAAATAAAACTTCCTTTAAAAAAACACCATCTTTTATATTTTATTTAAAAATAAATAAAATTATTAATAATTATTTATATATATATTTATATATATATATATATATATATTAAATAAAATATAAAAGATGGTGTTTTGTCAAGTAAATAGATATTAAACATGTCAAGACACAAAATTGTGTAAGCAAAAGTAAAAATATTATGCCTAAAAGTTTTTTTTCATAGGTGATGCTTTAACAGCCTTTAGAGGCCCTAGAATTATTGCTTTCAGCCTGATGTTTGCGACAATACCTCATGTGTTGGGCACTCACTGTTTACATACACCTGTTTGGTGGTTTTGCTTTTACATTTTCTAAATTATTTTTATTTTATGAAAATTAAATTTTTTTACATTGTTTTTTATTTTTTTTTTTCTCATCCAACTTTATTGCTGTCACAAGAAAGCCAAGTCTCTTACATGATAGCTTGGGAGGGCAACAGGTTCTCTTTATGGATATATCAGGGATCAATGTCTCCCCTGCAGCTAATGAAGACCAAATCATGGGGGCATCCCTTTTGACTACTGCAAAGGTTGTCAGGTGGCTGTTGAGTCTCCTGGATCACTTTTACCGAACAGCCCATCCCGTGCTTAAAAAAATTGATCCAAAGCTCATGGCGTCTGCAGCCATGAACTCTTTTTAACCACTTGGAGTCCAGGACGTTTTACAGGGGCCTAAGGATGGCAAGCGGTTAAAATGGCTAATATAAGCCTTTTATTTAAAGAATACCTGGTGATCCTGCCATTATTCCCTTTGTTCAGGCACATCCGTTTACAATATTCATACCCCTTGAGATTTTCCACATTTTGTCATGTTACAACCGAAAACGTAAATGTATTTGACTGGGATTTTGTGATAGACCAAAACAAAGTGGTACATAATTGTGAAGTGGAAGGAAAATGATAAATGGTTTTCAAATTTTTTTTCAAATAAATATCTGAAAAGTGTGGTGTGATGCTGCTGTATCTGCGCTGCCATTGGTGGCTAAAGATGTCAATCACTGGGTCCCAGCAAGAGATTCCCCACCAGCACCCAGCGATCATCAAGAAACAGTGACAAGGGAGAGCCCTGTGTGTAAACAACACAGGTCACTCCCCTGCCAGCAATAACATGCAGCATATTTCCCTAGTACAACACACACAGTACATTCAATAAAACAGCACACAGTTAACCCTTTGATCGCCCCAGATGTTAACCCCTTCCTGCCCAGTGTCATTAGTACAATGTCAGTGCTATTTATTAGCACTGATCACTGTATTAATGTCATTAAGATGTCAGTGGCAGATAGTTAGTCCCCCCCCAGTATCAGAATGCCCGACGCAGTCCTGCTATAAATCGCTGATCACCGCCATTACTAGTATATAAAGAAAAAAAAATTCCAGTATATATACCGCCATTTGTAAACGCTATAACTTTCACGTAAACCAATTCATTTACACGTATTGGGATTTTGTTTTTAGCAAAGATATGTAGCAGAATACATTTTGGCCTACATTTATGATGAAATTAGATTTTTTTAATTTTTTTTACTGTATCTGTTTCATAGCAAAAAGTCAAAAACATTGTTTTCTTTTCAAAATTAATTGGTCTTTTTTTGTATATAGCGCAAAAAATAAAAAATGCAGAGGCGATCAAATAGCCACGAAAGAAAGCTGTATTTGTGGGGAAAAAAGGACATACATGTCATTTGGGTGCAGCGTTGCATGACCACGCAATTGTCAGTTACAATAATGCAGAGATGTATCACAAAAAAAAATGGCCTGGTCAGGAAGGGGGGTAAATCCTCCGGAGGGCAAAGGGTTAAAAGAAATAAAAGGTTCTGTAACTGCTTATAATGTGTTCAGCTTCAATGAGTCAGTCAAGTCCTTCTAAGTCTGTTAGTGCATCTAACACTACCCTCTCCTCATACGGCTGCTGTCCAAAAGGGGTCTCTGTTGCTCCTCCATCCAGAATGCAGACATCCTAAGATAGGAAGTGTGGTCTGGCCAGATCACCAGGTGAAAAAAAAAAAAAAAACAAATGCAGCCACGCATCTAATTAGTAAGATTCAATATATACAATTTTTGTTTTGAGGTTTATTCATATAGAAAATTTTCTCAAAGAACATCAGCATGCATAATACATAATAAAAATAAAAGGTCTGCAGTTTGGTGTTTGGGATTCCTGTTGTGCATTTTGACCCGTCCGTAACTGAGGGTCTATTTGGTCTGGTAAGAGACTGAATTTATTGGGTGTTGGTGATGGCAAACTCTTTTTATCGTCAAATTTGAAGCATCATGACAGTATTGGTGTCCTAATGAAGAGGGATTTATGATTTCTTCACCACATGCAGATTGGACTTTTATTTATTTTATTCCATTTTATTTATTATTATAATACAGGATTAATATAGCGCCAACAGTTTGCTCAGCGCTTTACAATATAAAGGGAGACAATACAGCAACAATACAGTTCAATACAAGAGGGATAGGAGTGCCCTGATCCTGGGAGCTTACAATCTAAGAGGGAGGGGCTAGTGGTACAAAAGGTATTTATTTGATATTTGAAAGTACTGCACCCCTATGTTTTTTACTATTATCTGTATTGTTGCCTGCAATATCATGGTGGCTTCTCATATTTAATTTATTCATGTTAACCACTTCAAGTCCGGACACTTTTACCCCCTTCCTGTCCAGGCCAATTTTCAGCTTTCAGTGCTATCACTATTTGAATGACAATTGTGTGGTCATGCAACATGGTACCCATATGAATTGTTTAGCATTTTTTTGAGACAGATAAAACTTTATTTTGGTGGTATTTATTCACTACTGGGATTCTTATCTTTTTTTGCTATATAAATGAAATAGTCCAAACATTTTGAAAAAAAAAAAAAAAGTGTTTTTCTTATACAATTTTGCAAATAAATATTCTTCCTTCATAAATCTTGGCCAAAATTTATTCAGCTATCTTTTTAGTAAAACAAAAATAACCTAAATTAGTTTATAACCAAAAATTATAATTTTTCAAACATATTTTTTAATTTTTATTTTATATTATATATATATATATATATATATATATATATACATTATATATATATTTTACATACTGTCACCCTAGCAGTACAGTGTCACCATAGTGTCACTGTACTACTTGTGGGGTGGATGAATAATTTTTTTTTTTCTCTTACAGACTGCTTTTACACCCATAAAGGCTGTAAAAGCAATCATTTCTCTTTCTCTCTGACTGCATTCTTTCAGCCATTAAAAAATAATGTGAGAGCTGTGATTGGTCACAGCTTGTCACATGGTACAAGGCTGATGTGAATAGCCTTGTACCATGTGATCTCTGTGATCATTCACAGATTTCACTAGTAGTAAGCAATGTCAGGAAGTGACATATTGCTTACTACTATTCATGTGATCACCGATTGGCCAATCAGTGATCACATGATCGGGACCTCACACAGAGGTCCCGTACAGCGATCTGTGTCCAGAGGACATAGCAGGCACTGGATCGCAGTGCCGCGCGCTCCCAGGGAGCGCACAGAGGCTAAAAATGCGGGAGCCGTTTATGAACGGCAACCCACTCCCGTCTGGCCGTTTATATATACATGGGCCAGACGGGAAGTAGTTAAGTAGATGCATATAGTCAGATCCATAAATATTGGGACAGCGACACAATTCTAACATTTTTGGCTCTATACACCACCACAATGGATTTGAAATTAAACGAACAAGATGTGCTTTAACTGCAGACTGTCAGCTTTCATTTGAGGGTATTTACATCCAAATCAGGTTAACGGTGTAGGAATTACAACAGTTTACATATGTGCTTCCCACTTGTTAAGGGACCAAAAGTAATGGGACAATTGGCTTCTCAGCTGTTCCATGGCCAGGTGTGTGTTATTCCCTCATTATCCCAATTACAATGAGCAGATAAAAGGTCCAGAGTTCATTTCAAGTGTGCTACTTGCATTTGGAATCTGTTGCTGTCAACTCTCAAGATGAGATCCAAAGAGCTGTCATTATCAGTGAAGCAAGCCATCATTAGGCTGAAAAAAACAAACCCATCAGAGAGATAGCAAAAACATTAGGCGTGGCCAAAACAACTGTTTGCAACATTCTTAAAAAGAAGGAACGCACCAGTGAGCTCAGCAACACCAAAAGAACCGGAAGACCACAGAAAACAACTGTGGTGGATGACCGAAGAATTCTTTCCCTGGTGAAGAAAACACCCTTCACAACAGTTGGCCAGATCAAGAACACTCTCCAGGAGGTAGGTGTATGTGTGTCAAAGTCACCAATCAAGAGAAGACTTCACCAGAGTGAATACATAGGGGTCACCACAAGATGTAAACCATTGGTGAGCCTCAAAAACAGGAAGGCCAGATTAGAGTTTGCCAAACGACATCTAAAAAAGCCTTCACAGTTCTGGAACAACATCCTATGGACAGATGAGACCAAGATCAACTTGTACCAGAGTGATGGGAAGAGAAGAGTATGGAGAAGGAAAGGAACTGCTCATGATCCTAAGCATACCACCTCATCAGTGAAGCATGGTGGTAGTGTTATGGCGTGGGCATGTATGGCTGCCAATGGAACTGGTTCTCTTGTATTTATTGATGATGTGACTGCTGACAAAAGCAGCAGGATGAATTCTGAAGTGTTTCGGGCAATATTATCTGCTCATATTCAGCCAAATGCTTCAGAACTCATTGGACGCCACTTCACAGTGCAGATGGACAATGACCCAAAGCATACTGCAAAAGCAACCAAAGAGTTTTTTAAGGGAAAGAAGTGGAATGTTATGCAATGGCCAAGTCAATCACCTGACCTGAATCCGATTGAGCATGCATTTCACTTGCTGAAGACAAAACTGAAGGGAAAATGCCCCAAGAACAAGCAGGAACTGAAGACAGTTGCAGTAGAGGCCTGGCAGAGCATCACCAGGGATGAAACCCAGCGTCTGGTGATGTCTATGCGTTCCAGACTTCAGGCTGTAATTGACTGCAAAGGATTTGCAACCAAGTATTAAAAAGTGAAAGTTTGATTTAGGATTATTATTCTGTCCCATTACTTTTGGTCCGTTAACAAGTGGGAGGCACATATGCAAACTTGTAATTCCTACACCGTTCACCTGATTTGGATGTAAATACCCTCAAATTAAAGTTGACAGTCTGCAGTTAAAGCACATCTTGTTTGTTCCATTTTAAATCCATTGTGGTGGTGTATAGAGCCAAAAATGTTAGAATTGTGTCGATGTCCCAATATTTATGGACCTGACTGTAAACATAGCGCAGAATTGTTAAATTACTTTTCTATGCATAATACATACAATTCTGATTAAGTCATACACATCACATTGTTATTACTTACAGATGTGGAAGTCCCATCTAACTGATCACAAACAAAAATCAGGGAGAGGTCTATCTCTGGGAACTGGGGGCCATTGTGTAGATATGTCCCCCTATTTATAACAGGCACGATGGCTTCCAGGCAGCTCTGATCCATTAGGAGGCTCTGGGATGGAGTTTCCCAGCCGCTGTCACTTGGAGTAAACTGGCAGGCACCCCGCAGCTGTTTCAGCATCCTAATGTGATTTTCTTCATGGCATAATCTGAAATTTTAAAAAAAAGTGTGATTACAATATGAAACTATTACTGCACCAATCTCATAACCAACCCAATGCCATCAAAATATCTGCTGAATGAATGGAAAGTTTTTCATGTGTGCAATTATGAGGACCTTGAAAGTTGTAATGAAAACATGACAGGATCTCTGCAAGTGTAAGAAATTGTTCATGCAGCATAATGGCGCAGTATTGATGACACAAAGGATTAACACAATTCATGTACTGCAGAGCAAACTTTCAAAGTTTGTACTCAATTACAGTTTTTCAGTGACTTTGTTTCCCGATAACGTAACCCTAATGGAAAAATATATTTTAAAAATATTCTTCCCCAATAGATTGCCATATATTTGAAATGCTACAATTTTGGCCATATTCAATACATTTTAAATAAAATTATATATACAGTATATATATATATATATATATATATATATATACACACACATATATATATATATATATATATATATATATATATATATATATATATATATATATATATATATATACACATACATACACACACACACACACATACGTATACTGCATGTTGAAATACGTTTTTTTTACAGAATATATGAAAAGTATTTTTAAATATACATTTCAAATACACTGTATGTCTTTAACCATTAGCCGCCCGGCCAATGGCCGTTTGGCGGCTTGAAATGCGCTCTTAAATTCCGGGTGCACGCCATTTGGCGTGCTCCCGCACATGCGCAGTTTGCTGCACAGCAGAGCGGCGCAGCAGCGGGATCTGTCACGGGCCGTGCACCTCGGACACGGCCGATGACAGATCCGAGTACCGGCTCCCCGTAGCTGGTACCATGTGACCTGCTGTGACCAATCACAGCAGGTCACATGATAGTTGTATACAATGGATGGCTTCATTCATGATGCCATCCATTGTATACTAGTGCCTAGCTGTGAATGGTCACAGCAGGTCACATGCACATGTCATGTGATTAGCTGTGACCAAATCACAGCTAAGCACAAAAAAAAAAAAAGCTGAATGAATCGATTTCATTCAGCTAAATGCTTGCTTATAGCAAAGTAATTCTTTGCTATAAGCAAACTGTGTATAAAAAAAAAAAAAAAAAAATACTGATCACTCCCCCAAAGTAGTACAATGTTACTATGGTAACATTGTACTACTTTGGTCATAGTAAAATATGAAAAAAAAAAAATCTTTAAAAAAATGTAATAAAAAATTAAATATAATAAAAAATAAAAAAAAAAAAAAAAAAAATATATATATATATATATTTTTTTTTTTCATACTGTCACCAGTCAGTGTCCATGTTCACCGCCATGCCAGTTATATGATGACGCTGTACTGCACTGGTGACAGTATGTAAAAAAAAAAAAATAGTGAAAATAATTTGTTTAATTTTTTCATTTTCCGAAAAATTATGACAAAAAAATACAACTTCAAAAAACTCGCCATGCCTCTTATGAAGTACGTCGGACTGTCTACTTTGCAAAAAGGGGTCATTTGGGGGATATCTGTACTGTTCTGACATTCTTGGACCTCAAGAAATTAGATTGGCTGTCAGTACTTCAGGATTGATCAATATTCAGATCTATACCATAGTTTGTGAACTCTATAACTTTCCTACAAACTAAAAAATACATCCTAATTTGGGTTATTTTCACCAAAGACATGTAGCAGAATACATCTCGGCCTAAATTTATGAAGAACAATTATTTATTTGTAAACTTTTATAACAGAAACAAAGAAAAATGTGTTTTTTTTTCAAAATTTTTGGTCTTTTTTTTTTGTTAATTTAGCAAAAAATAAAAACCCCAGCGGTGATTAAATACCACCAAAAGAAAGCTCTAGTTGTGTGAAGAAAATGATAAAATTTTAGTTTGGGTACAGTGTTGTATGACCGCGCATGAGAGCGCTGAAACCTGAAAAATGGCCTGGGCAGGAAGGTGTAAAATCACACGGTATTGAAACGGTTAAAGATACAAATCTACATTTTTGGAATGCATTTGCAAATATATGTAAAAATAAATGTTAAAATGACTTTTTTCTATGTAAAAAAAAAAAAATATGAAGCATATATTTTAAAAAAATATATGTTTTTAAAATATAGTCTTCAGATTTTTTTAACATATAAAAAAGTCATTTTAACATATTTTTAAATATATGTGTAAATGCATTCCAAAAATGTAGATTTATATTATTAAAGACATACAGTATATTTGAAATGTATTTTAAAAAATATTTTGTATATATTTTGTAATAAAAACGCATTTCAACAAAATATATTGAATATGGCCAAAATTGCAGCATTTCAAATATATGTCAATATATTTGGGAAGAACATTTTTAATATATATTTGAAATATATTTTTCTTCCATATGGGATATAGCACTTTCATACACCAGATGTCACCGATCCACATTACTTGCCTTGTAATTTCAGCATAACTCTGGGCTCACACCTGTGCGTTGCGGTACATCGCATATGATTCGCACAGGAACCGCACGGCATTCCTGTGCAAATCACATGCGAATTCTGTGTGGTGGATTTGAGCCATACATTTTGTATGGCTCTAATCGCATCGCACCAAAAATATGCAGGACCCTTTTTTTGGTCTGCACTAGAATCGGAACGCATGGTTATTCACACCTATGCGATCCGATTCTGCACATCGCACCACATTTTGCGGACCGCTTTTGGGGTGTTCACTTAAGATACACACCCGCAGCGGTTTGCATGAACGGGGTGCGATTCTGATGTGGTGTGGAATTCGCAATGAAAACGCTGCGAATTCCACACCGCATCAGTGTGAACCCAGGCTACAAACAGGCACAATTCACTTAATAAAACAATCCTGGTCCTTATAGCGAGTGGCCAATCAACGCTTTTCTTTGGTGCCATTGCTGTAATTATTACCTACATGGTAAATTTAAAGAAATACTACCAACATTCACACAATCTACAATCACGCTTACACCGCTAACCGTCTTTCTTCTACAGAACAGAAAAACTGACTTTCCTCAACTTCTCACAGGATTTATTGCAGTTACTGCCATTTGATTGGTCCCCAGAACAAGGACTGTGATTGGTCAGTAGGGTCTGCACTTAATATCTGCTTCTTAAGCACTTGAAGACCACAATATGTATTATTTACGTTGCGGCTGTCAAATGGTATCCTGGGATGATGTCTGCTGCTGCAGGCATCATCCCAGTTTTGTTCTTTACAGGAGCCTATTGTCTTTAACATAATCAGCTCCTGGATTGGTTTTACAGGTGGTGGGAGGGGTTACTGCCTGCCGATTCCTCTCCCTGATCTCTGTCCCATTAGAGAACCCGGAACTGAAGCCTGCGGTCTTTTGACAGTTCTTTTCTGCTCCCCATGGCTCAGTAATTAGCCTGCTCAGTGCACCATGTGAGAGATAACAACCTCACTGACTATTTATTCACAGACACTAATTGCAACCCAAAAAGCCACAGATGTGGGAAATTAACCTTACCAGTTACCACCTGGCCTATAGCCAGATGGTGGCCGGGCGAACAGCTCATCCCTCCGGGTGGACACCATATGGCGTCCTTTCAGGAACGCGCATTGCGCATGCCCCCAGGGCCGCACTGCGGTGCGATCTGTCACCGGCCGTGTACCTCGGACAAGGCCGATGACAGATCTGTGTACCGGCCCCGTTGTCAGTACCATGTGATCTGCTGTGACCAATCACAGCAGGTCACATGACAGTTGTATACAATGGATGGCATCCTTTCATGCCATCCATTGTATACAAGTGTGTCTAGCTGTGAATGGTCATAGCGATCACATGCACAAGCTGGGCCAATCACAGCCCAGCTGTTTCATGTGATTAGCCGTGGCAAAATCACAGCTAAGCACGAAAAAAAAAAAAACCCTGAATGAATGTCATTCAGGTAAATGCTTGCTTATAGGAAAGAAATTCTTTGCTATAAGCAAATTGTGTTAAAAAAAAAAAAAAAACTGATTACTTCCCCAAAGTAGTACAATGTTACTATGGTAACATTATACCACTTTGGTCATAGTGAAATATGAAAAAAAAAAAATCTTAAAAAAAATGAAAAATTTGCAATTTTTTTTGTACTGTCATGAGTGTCCCTGATCACCGCCATGCCTGTTATATGATGACGCTGTACTGCACTGGTGACAGTATGTAAAAAAAATTGTGAAAAGCATTTTTTTAATTTCTTAATTTTCCGAAAAATGACATAAAAATGACAACTTCTAAAAACTCGCCATGCCTCTTATGAAATACGTCGGACTGTTTACTTTGCAAAAAGGGGTCATTTGGGGGATTTCTGTACTGTTCTGACATTTGGGGATATATGTACTGTTCTGACATTCTTGGACCTCAAGAAATTAGATTGGTTGTCAATACTTCAGGATTGATCAATTTTCAGATATATCTCATAGTTTGTGAACTCTGTAACTTTCCTACAAACTAAATAATACATCCTAATTTGGGTTATTTTCACCAAAGACATGTAGCAGAATACATCTCGGCCTAAATTTATGAAGAACAATTATTTATTTGCAAACTTTTATAACAGAAACAAAGAAAACGTGTTTTTTTAAAAAATAATTTTGGTCTTTTTTGTTAATTTAGCAAAAAAAAAAAAAAAAAAAAAAAAACCCCCAGCATTGATTAAATACCACCAAAAGAAAGTCCTCGTGGTGTGAAGAAAATTATAAAATTTTAGTTTGGGTACAATGTTGTATGACCGCGCAATTGTCATTCAAAGTGTGAGAGCGCTGAAACCTGAACATTGGCCCGAACAATTTTTCTGTCAGTTATGGCAGCAACCTTTCTTAGTCTACCTGACCTTGGAACTTTATAAAGATGGAAAAGTACATAAAAAGATGTCCAAAGTCTTGACTATGCCAATCAGTACTGTTAAATCACCTATTAAGAAGTGGAAAGTTTGGGGATCTCTAGATACCAAGCCAAGGTCAGGTAGACCAAGAAAGATTGC